TGAAAGCAGGTATCTGGTTTGTTTGGGTTCTATAGTCGAAACACTGTATCAACTGCAGCTCTGAGATCCTGGCTGGCTGAAAGCAGGTTTCTGGGGTTTTGTTTAGCTTCTATATTTGTAACAATGTTTCAAACTGCAAGCTCAGAGGCTGGCAAGGCAGGCAGGGAATGTTGGTTTCCTCTGTCACTGAAGCAAGCAACCTCATGTTAGCTTCAAGCTACCTGGCTGCCGGGCACCATCTTGGCTGGCAGTTAATTTGCATATCTTGCTGATTAGCCAATGGGAAGGGTAGCGGAAGTAGGCTAATTACCATGTTTCTCTTTTATTAGATAGGATATTTAAATGCTATTTAACAAAGAAAAATCAACCAAAAAAATGAGTTTGCGTGTCACCTCTGACACACGTGTCATTGGTTCGATATGACTGTTCTATACTATTGCAAAATGGCAAGTGAATCGAAAGAGTCAGGGTTGAGACTGGGAATAACAGTTAGACAGTTGTTGCTGGGATTCAAGTGGAGTGTGCTCTGGGTGTGGAAAGAAGCAGATGAGTTCAGAGGAACCTGGGAGAGCAGATCCACCGGGCTGGATGGGAGAGAATGGATGTGAGAGAGTATTTCTTCACAGTATTCGAGTTTCACAGAGAGTCACACCTCCAGCACAACTGTACACATAGTAGGTAATGTCAGAAGTGAAGGGTGCTGACAACCTGACAGGGCCTGGGTGTGTGGGTGGGGGATACCTTTTCAGAATTATTCTATACTGAGTCTACATTCAAGGGTGGTCAAAAGTAGGTTTATAGGTGTAAGGACATGAAAAACAGGGTTTCTTCTTCTATTATTATTTATTAATTTTTGTATTATTTTCCATATGAAAACCTGTAAGCCTACATTTGCCAACCCCTCTATTACTTCTCCGTAAAGAATAAAGGAGTCTAAACTCTAGTTTTTCTTCCCTCATCCTATCTAATAAAGAAGGAATATGCAAATTGATCATAACTCTGTGACAAAGATGGTGGCGCCCACAGCAAATAAGGAGGGAATATGCAAATTGACTATCACTCTGCAACAAATATGGCAGCGGCTGAGCCAGGATGCAGGCATTCCGCCCCACCCTGCCCATGGAGGATCTCTGGGTTCTGCTTCGTCGCTGCTGCCACAGGGGCCAGAGGAGCAGGGGGCCCAGCACCCAGCAGCCCCGAGCCCCACGGCCGCAACGATGCTGGGGCCTCTGGGGCCAGAGGGGCAGAGACACAAGCCCACAGGGGGGCCTGGCACCCAGCAGCCCCAAACCCCGTGGTGGCGGAGGTGCTGGGGCTGCTGGGGCCACAGTGGAGACACAAACCCGCAGGAAACCTGTGGAAAGGGACATAAACTATCATAACTTTATCTCCCTTTCCACAAGATGAGGAAACTGACCCTGATTTATTTAGTGATATGGCCCACACATTTCTACAAGCACAGGGTATGTTATGACCACTCCCAGGAAGGTCTGATTAGAATAATGTCTCCAAGGAATAACGTTACTTTGGCAAATCATCTAAGAGAGGAAACAAGCTTTTATTGGGTTTATTCTGAAGGTCAGAGAACAGGCCACCCCAACATATGCCATGTTGTTATATTGATGATCTTGAGCTGTAGATGCTTGGAAAACAGCAAATGCAAGGAGAGGCTTTCACTGAAGTCTCCTGATCTGCCTAAAATCAGAACCCCACAAAAGGTTCCCTTGATGGGAAAAGTGCCATCATCCAGTGAAGACTGACTCCTGTCACAGGACAGACTAGAAGTTGACATCACACCCAACTTTGTTACAAACTATCTCCCCCCCCCCCCCCCGATTCATCTTTCCTAAGAATCATTTACTCTCCTCTAAGGGGCCTACATCTCCCATCCCCTTTCCCTAAGAAGAAGGTATTTAAATCTGGATTCTAAGCCACTTTGGGAAGTTATTCATTTTTCCCTGGGATCTCCCACATGTACACAAGGTACACATGATAATGAACTTTTGTTTTTCTCTTGATAATCTGTATTTAATTACAAGGGCCTCCACTAAGAACTCAAAAGGGTAGAGGAAAACTATTTTTCCTCCTCCATAATTCTATCTTGGGAAATCAAGTCCTGGGCTGAACAGTGAGGTTGGCTCAAGTGCCAAGCAATCCCGGCTGAGGGGAGGGAAGCTTCTAGGGGGAAATCAATGGTACTGGCATCAAAGTGGGACAGAGGGCACAAGCATGGTTGCTGGTGGGAATTTAAAGTGGTTCAACATTTTTGGAGGATGACTTGGCAAAATCGATAGAAATGTTCAAGGTACATCCAAGAGTCTTCTTCTAGGAATATCATCTGCTGAGATAAAGCACGAGTGCCTAAGCCCTGGTCAGAACCCAGGATGCTACTGTGGGCTCTCCTTCCATGATAGGAAAACCTGCTAACAACCTGCATTTTTAGGCAAGGTGGCATCTATACTAATAAAAAGGTAATATGCTAATTAGAATGAACATCTTCCAGATGACCTTCCAGATGTCCTTTCGGACAAAGCCATGGTGGCAGAGCTGAGGCAGAGGCAGTTAGAGGCAATCAGGCACACAGGGGAAAGCAGTTAAGAGGATCAGACCAGACCATCAGCGGAGAGCAGTTAGGGGGATCAGGCCAGCAGGGGAGAGCAGTTAGGGGGATCAGGCTGGCAGGCAAGTGAGTGGTTAGGAGCCAGCAGTCCTGAGGGATCCCAGGTTGAAGAGAGTGCAGGCCAGGCTGAGGGACCCTCCCCCCTCCTGTGCACGAATTTCATGCACAGGGCCTCTAGTAGAGAATAAAAATAAGTCAGGTAAAAACTGAAATTTAGTTCATTTGCCATTTAGTTCATAGTCCTTTGTGTCATTGTGTTTTGTCAGCATGTGGGATTGAGCTAATCCCCTTGTCTAGGCTCATTCTCACCATGCTCTCTATGTCTCAACTTCAAGGGGTGCTTGTCTGCCAGAAAAACCCCACAGCCACCTTTTCCATTTATAAACTTGTCGACTTAGTCAGACGCAAAAAAAAAAAAAAAAAAAAAGCAATAGATCCTGCATTCTCCACCTCTGCTAAAGAAAAATACCACTAACTAGACATATGAAGAATTATTCAAATCCATCACAGAGAGTGACTACAAAATGAGGGAAAATAGAACAAAACATTGGACTACTAAAGTCCTGTCCTCTTTATTTTACACAATCTCCAGGAAAGAAAGAATGAATATTCTTTCCTCTATGATCTGCTGTATTTACAATTGATTTATCTTGTGGTTAAAGGAGATTTACTCACTAAAATTGAGACAGACAGGAGAATGCAATTTGGGTTTGACCTCCTGGCCAATGTGGGTATCACTTACCAGAACTGAAAATACAATGGGGTTTTATCATTCCTTCAGGATAAGAGACTAGATAAATCCTTTAGGAATATTCTGTCTTTAGGTGCAGATAGTTACTGACATACATATATTTTCATGTCTGATGACCTCGTGTGGTTCAGGGAAGGAAGAATTATCCCTGCTTCTACCTTATATCACCACCATCCCCATTTCCAATTATTTGCTTGTCCACCCTGCCAGGGTAACTGATGCCAGAAAATTTTACATTACATATTCATTTCTTTAACATACCCAGCTTTGTTTCTTGTTGAACATGTATATTCCCACATTTGGAATTCCTATCTGTACCCACCTTAGTGAGAATATATTTTTATCTGGTCATTTGCTAGACCAAGATTTAATGAGGTTGCAGTATGAGGGACTAGAAATAAATGAGGCTCAGAAGCAGAGATGACTTACACAGAAAATAGATGGCAGCCAGGCTTTGTCCTCCAACACACCTTCTCCTCTCCAGCAGCACTCCGTGTAGACCTGGAAGACCTGAGTGTCCGCCAACTACCTCTGTGCATGGATTTGAGCCCAAAGCATTGAATTTCGAATAGAATTTAGGTTCTTTAATGCCAGACATATGTCTTCTCTGGGACCTTCCAGAATTCTCAGCACAAAATAAATATCTGGTGGTGGAATTTAGCTTAATTTTTTGACTTTTTGTTTCTCAAATGACATATTTCTGATATTAGAGGTTTAGGCTAATAGAGTCCTGGATTTCAAATAGTAACAAAACATTACGTATCTTTGAATTTATTCTGTTGATAAGTAATTTGCAATGACCACTGTGGTTGTCTCTGAAACATTCAAGATATGCCCTCAGCTGAAAGTTGGATTGCAATCTTTTTCTGTATTCCAGAAGAAGAAATTTGTCATCTAAATAACAATTTGAGTGTAATCTCTGAGATCAATATGTATATACCATTGTGAGGGCTCAAGAGAAGGGGTAACAAAGAGCAGGGATTAAGATGTACTATATCTTAACTAAGCTTTACTATATACACATGAAATAGACTTATTCTTATTTTACAGACCAAGTAGCTGGGGTTCACGTGAGTCATGGTGGATCATCCAGTAACATGGAGTTGGACTCCGTATCTGTCTTCTCCTAAAGTCCACCCTCTTTCTAGTCCATCGCACTGCACGGATAAGCATTGTAATGCTTTTGCAGTTTCTAATTTCACAAGCCTAACAGCTCGCTTCCAACTTTTCCAGAGGCACAATTTCCCTCTGTGTGTTCCACTTCAGAGAAATGTCTGCAGTAGACTACAAACACATTTTATTTCACTTGCAAGGAGCATGACAAGTTTTTATCTTGAAGGTTCTACCTTACATATGTAAAGTACAGGGTTCCACATGAACTATAGTATTTTAAAAACAATTTCTGGGTGTGTGTGCATGGGGGTGGGAGGATGGAAGAAGTGTTTCTCCTAGCCTGAAAAGGCATGCATTTCCCCTAAATTTCTAATTCTCTATGGAAACTTTAATGAAAAATTCCACCACAGCATCATTACAGAACAATAGTTGTCTGTTACAAATGCAAATATTAAACTTAAAAAATCTAAACCCTGCGATACCTTATTATTTTTAATTTTGTTTGTCACCTCTTAGGAGGAACGTCATCAAAACAGAAAGGCTTTCTCGGATGCATACGCTCCTTACACTTGAATGGGCAGAAACTGGACCTGGAGGAGCGGGCCAAGGTCACATCTGGAGTCCGACCAGGATGCCCAGGCCATTGCAGTAGTTATGGCGGCATCTGCCACAATGGGGGCAAGTGTGTGGAGAAGCGCAGTGGATACTTCTGTGATTGCACCAATTCACCATATGAAGGGCCCTTTTGCAAAAAAGGTACACTAGTCATGTTTGTTTTTCTTTTTTTTTTTTAATATATTTTATTGATTTTTCACAGAGAGGAAGGGAGAGAGATAGAAAGTTAGAAACATCGATCAGTTGCCTCCTGCACATCTCCCACTGGTGATGTGCCCGCAACCCAGGTACATGCCCTTGACCGGAATCGAACCTGGGACCTTTCAGTCCACAGACCTACGCTCTATCCACTGAGCCAAACCGGTTTCGGCCATGTTTGTTTTTCAATGTACCATGTAGTAGTAACTACAGCCTATGGCCAAGTCATATTATCCCTTAACCTTACAGAATCCTCAATCCATCATTTAGTCTTCCTTGTTTTTTTTTTTTTTTTCTCTTTTAAGAGACTCTGCATATCTCCTCAACATAATTGCATAGAGTCATTATCACTGTGTATAGGCCCTGACAGTGAAATTGTACTAAATGGATAGTAATAGGGCAAATAGAATCGCCATGGCCAAGTCAGCTGAGCACTGGGAAAGGTTGACTCTCACTTATGTTGGGTCACCTGAATCATGAAGGGTGCACTGAACTTTCCAGTTCCAATTATTCAGTCCATAAATATAATTAAAGACTCATAGCCCAGCCAGCATGGCTCAGTGGTTGAGCATCGACCTATGAAACGGGGGGTCACAGTTTGATTCCCAGTCAGGGTACATACTTGGGTTGTGGGCTCAATCCCCAGTGTGGGGTGTGCAGATCAATGACTCCCTCTCATCATTGATGTTTTTTTCTCTTACTCTCTCCTCCTCTCTGAAATAAATAAAAACATATTAAAAAAAAAATAAAGACTCATAGAATCTAGCCCTGGAGGAACCTTAAGCAATTCTAAGTAATTTTTTCAATAGGAATAGTAGAGGTAAGTTAGTAAAATCAGTATCTTGTATTTAATAAAATACCACTATTTTACAGGTGACATAATTGGGGTTTGAGTCTTTAAAAGTGCTCCACAGATACTCATATTTAGTTCATCAAGGGACTGAAGATAGAACAGCAGAGTCAAAACTCTAGTCCTGATGCTTCACAGCATCCCCTCTGAATTTTATTAATTAATTGCATTGACAAAAGCAAAGCGTGATGGGTACACACCTTAGACAAGGAATGGCAGTCATGATGTAAATTACCTAGATGAATTCAAGGTAATGCTACAAAATGTAAAATCTCATTTTTCATTGTAAATACGTAAGTATTTTTTAAATAGAATGATGAAAAATTTGGTCAACTATCTGTCTTTGCAGAATGTTTAAGCTTATTTTATTGATAAAATATTTGTTGAATAAATAATAAAAAAAAATAATTTTTCAAGCGCAATATCTAGAGCAGTGGTTCTCAACCTTCCTAATGCCGCAACCCTTTAATACACTTCCTCATGTTGTGGTGACCCCCAATTTCATTGTTACAAATTGAACATAATTAAAGCATAGTGATTAATCACAAAAACAATATGTAATTATATATGTGTTTTCCGATGGTCTTAGGCAACCCCTGTGAAAGAGTAGTTCGACCCCCAAAGGGGTCGCGACCCACAGGTTGAGAACCGCTGATCTAGAGAGAGATCCAAGATGGTGGTGGAATAGGCGAAAGCTACACTCACCTTTTCCAGGGCCATACTGGAATTACAACTAAAATATAAAATAATCAACCTAAATAACCAACTAAAGATTAGCTGAAGAGAAGTCTTATAATCAAGGATTTACAGAAGAAATCACATTAAAGGCAGCATGACAAGGGCTGGCCCTGCTATCAAAGGCTGCAGCTGAAAATTGGGAGGATATCTCAGCTGCAAAGGTGCTCCCTGAGGAGTGTGAGGTCTCAACTCCTCACCAGGCTTCCAAGAGCACCAAAGCCAGGAAAAGGCCCTTACATAACACCTAGCTGTAAAATCAGTGGGGTTTCTGTCACATAAAAAGTTAGGAGTCTTCTAGAGACCCAGGTGCCCCTTTAAAGGGACAACATACAGAATATCATTAGCAGTCGCTCACCCTGGGCACCAGTGGAAGGAGGAAAGAGCAGACTGGAGTCATGTGAGAAGAAATTCGCATTTGTGGCTCTGGGGAGAGTGCTAAATGGACAACCACCAGGATCCCTGTGCTGAGTCCTTCACCGAAACCGCAGATGCCATCTTTGTTGAGTGAAGCACTCCATTACATATGTCATCAGCCTGGGGGAATGCAATAGCCCCACCCTCAAGACCCTTTCACTCCAGCTTTTGAAGCTCATAACTTATGGAGGAGTCAGCTACATGGACTCTGGGTGTAGAAGACTGGGAGGACTCATTGTCAGTAACTGAGCTCTGTGGCTCTAGGATGGGGGCTGTATTTCCCTCACACATATGACCGGTGCAGAGTCCTTACTTCACGTGGCCAAATCATGGTCTACTTGGACCTGATAAACACTACTGGTCTCACTCGGATGACTCTTTGAGACCCTGCCATTCCTTTAGATACTTGACAGGTGGCAGCTACCCTTGGATGTTTGCTGAGGAGTCTCAGACCCAGTACTGGTACTGAGTTTGAATCTGTATTAATCTGGTGAACAACACATCCTATCTGGCAACTCACTGACAATCAACTTCTTGCAACTTGAGTACCATCAGAGGCTTTTCAGTGACTCAGCCTAACAGGCATCCAGCAGGCAGAGGCAGGTGGAGGAGGATCTTGGGGTGACTTGGGCCATTTGATGACCTGACCATAGGCTGGTCCTGGAAAAAGCTGGCCTTAGTGCACAATTTGGTTCTTTCCACGCACACCCAGGCCCAACAGAGGCAACCATAAACTGCGGATTGCTTGGTAGTTCCAAACAGGTAGGCCAGAGCCAGTCATAAGAGCATCTGACATTGACCTGCAGCACTGTCCCTCCCAAGAAGCCCCAAAATCAAAACACTTAGTGGCAAGTGTCAGATGACATATGAGCAAGATCCAGTTAGCTACACAAAAGTCACATCCAAAGGGACATCTCAGGAGGCACCAGATCCTGCTGAGGTGAATTTTGTTTTGTGTGGTCAGCACCTGAACAACAGGTTGTACACTGTGGTCATAGTTAATCCTCAGAGTCAGCCAGCATGAGGATTGACTTCACACATGAATTGTCTACGAGCAATCAAGATTCAATTACAACTGTAGGATTCATAGAACCCACGCACGGGACATTCCTAGAGCACCCAGCACAGGTGATTCAAAAGATTACACTATTGGATCCAAAAACACACCTACTACATAAGCCACTATAATAAGACTGGGATACAGAAAATTTACTTATTAACAGAAATGGACACAAAGAGGAAGCCAAATGGAGAGACAAATAAACATTCCCCAAATGAAAGAAAAGGATAATTCTCCAGAAAAAAAGAGATAAATTAAATGGAGGCAAGTAATTTACCAGATATAAGTTCAAAAAATGGTTATGAGAATGCTTAAGGAACTTAGTAAGAAAGTTAATGGTGTGAAAAACAATGTAGAAACCATCAAAGAACCAGTCAGAAACTAAGTACACAATGTTACTGCAAACAATAAAATGAACAATACACTAGAAGAAATAAATATTAGATTAGATAAATCAGAGTATTAAATCAGTGACTTGAAAGACAAGGTAGTATAAAATACCCATCAGAATAAAAAAAATTAAAATAAAAAAGGAATACAAAAACTGAAGATAGTTGAAATGACCTTTCAAAGAATATGGATTGCAATAGTATCCTCATCATAGAGGTGCCAGAAGGAGAAGGGAGAGCAGAGGATTGAGAAACTATTTGAAAAAACAATGGCTGAAAACGTCCCTAACCTGGTGAAAGAAAGACACAGAAGTCCATGAAGTGCAGAGTTCCAACAAGATGGACCCAAAGGGCATCATATCAAGACACATTGTAATTAAAATGCCAAGTTTAAAGACAAAAGGTGAATCTTAAAAGTAGTAAGAAAAGACACTTAGTTAGCTACAAGAGAGCTCCCATAAGACTGTCAGCTGATTTCTCAACAGAGATATTTTTCAACAGGCCAGTAAGAAGAGGTATGAAATACTAAAAGTGATGAAAAGCAAGGACCTACAACCAAGATTACTTTACCCAGCAAGGCTATCATTAAAATGGAAGGAGAATTAAAGAGCTTCCCAGACAAGAAAAAGCCAAAAGAGTTTATTACCACCAAACCAATATTACAAGAAATGCTAAAGAATCTTCATTAAAAAAAAAAGGAAGAAAAAAAAAAGAAGAATATAGTTATAAAGAATGAAATGGCAATAAATATGTACCTACCAATAATCACTTTAAATGCAATCAGTTTAAATGCTCCAATCAAAAGACATAGAGTAACTAAATGAATAAGAAAACAAGAGCCATATATAGTATTATCTGCAAGAGACCCAACTCAGGATGAAAGACACACACAGACTAAAATTAAATATATATAAATATATATTTCATGCAAATGAAAATATAAAGCTGGGATAGCAATACTTATAGCACACAAAAAAGACTTTAAAACAAAGGCTATAGTAAGAGACAAATAAGAAACTACATAATGATAAAGAGAGAAATCCAACAAGAGGATATACCTCTTGTAAACATATATATGCCCAACATAGGAGCACCTAAATATATAAAGCGAATCTTGATGGACATAAAGAGAGATATCAACAGTAATACAATGATAGCAGGGATTTTAACACTCCACTGACATCAATAAATAGCTCTTCCAAACAGAAAATCAACAAGAAAATAATGACCTTAAATGACACACTAGATTAGATTATTTTTATTTATTTATTCAGAGCATTTTACCCCAAAACAGAAGAATATACGTTCTTTTCAACTGCACATGGAACATTTTCTAGGATAGGCCACATGTTAGGATACAAAAACAAATCTCAATAAATTTAAGAAGATTGAAATCATATTAAGCATCTTCTCTGACCATAATGGTTTGAAACTAGAAAGTTATCAGAAGAAAAAAACAAAACAAACACCTAAAAACCCACAAAAACAAGGA